GAGGAGCGGGTCGCTTGCCCCAAGACAATCCCGTCCAGGCTGCGCCCAGAATGTCTCCGCCCAAAGACTGCCCCAGATAGCCCGAAGACGGCCCAGAGAGGGCATCAAACCGGCTGCCGAACGCGCCAGTTTGCCTCAGATAGTCCCACGTGGGAATGCCCGAAAGAACGCCGAACGTCTCCGCCCAAAGTTTGCCCCAGACAGCCCAAGACGGCCCAGAGAGGGCCTCAGACCGGCTTCCAAACGCGCCAGATGGCCTCAGACAGTCCCACGCGGGGATGCCCGAGAGAACGCCGATGAAATCCGAGCGGGCCTCCACAGGCCCCCGCGAAGACCCGGGAAGGCCCGAGGGCCCAAAATGGTCCTATAGAGGGCCCCTCCCTGCAGTCAACACGCATAACAAGGATGCATGATAAGTATGCCAGCGCGCCTTGGAAGGCCATGTCGACTCTTTTCGGGCGGGGTGCAGCCTGCAAAAATGGCCAGGGATGGGCCGCAAAGGAAAGATGCAAGGGTAACTGTGGAGAGCCGCTCCTCCTTACTGTCCACGTTGACTGTCGTGTTCCCCTCCATCATGTCCCAAACGACTGGACGAACATGCTGTTGATTTGCGTGGCCGCATTTTCACACTGCGTCTCTCGACACAGCCGTTGCAAAAAGGAAGGGGGCGGCGGTGACTCACAGTAGGCGTCTTCGATAGTTACGCGTTTACGCCCAGTTGTCAGGAACAGTGGTTGGCGAAATGGGGTCGCCAATTGAAAACGAGGCATGCCATAAGCAGGCAGCAGTATCAGGTCACTCCACTTTCGAGCATATGCCACGAAGGCACATGCAGCTCTAGGAAATGCTGCGAGCGGGGCAACATTGCCTGCGCTATGAGTGCATGTCCCTCGGGCCGTAAGAACGCGTCGCGCAAGCCGCCACAGCGGAAGACAAAAAGCACGGACAGAGCTAGGGGATCAGCACTCCCGCCGATGCCGCCGCGCTCTCGACGCTACAGGCCCTCCCTCCCCCCCAACATCCACGGCAACTCCGAGCACGATTGGCATGTGTACATGGCGACACGCGCGGTTCGTCCTTCAGGGAAACTGCAACAACAGGTTCGGCGACATTCCAAAGGCCCCCACGGCATCAGGAGCGTCGCTGCAGTACTAGGCGGGCCGTTGGTGCACGTTCGTGCGTTAGGCAATCAACACCGCAGGCGCTGAGCTTCAAGTGTTCAACCCCACACCAACACCACCTTTACTTATTTTCTGTGTCGGGTACGCAGTGAAGTGTGCCTGCACGTGCGTTCCCACAGCTGGGCCCTCGCCCGAAGCAAGGCAGGCCCACCGGGTTCTAGGCTCATGGGACGGGAGTGCGCATTGCAGTGCCGCGGACGAAGCTCGAGTAATTATGCTCTGGTCCTCCTCTTCCTCCTCCTCGCCCCCCCTGCCCTCTGTCCCCCTCCCTCCTTGCCGCTCGCAACTCAGCGAGAGCGCCGCAGGGTCAGGCCTCCAACCAACGCCTAAAGGTCAAACCTGGTCCTCAACTCCCACCCCCCCGCCCCCCCTCCCTCGGGCGGCCCACCAAGACGGCCAAAGAGGCCCCAGAGAAGCCCCCAAAGGCCCCCAACTGGCCCAAGGAGGCCCCAAGATGCTTCCAAGAGGCTCCAAGAAAGCTCCCAGGAGGCCCCAAGAGTGTCCCCGTAGGCTCCCAAAATGCCCCCTCCTCCTCCTCCTCCTCCTCCTCCTCCTCCTCCTCCACCTGCTGCTCCTCCTCCTCCTCCACCTCCTCCGCTTCCTCCTGATCTTCCCCGCCATCGTCCCCCAAGTGTTCCACTAAGTGTTTCCACAACGGTTGAGGGAACACATGGTCCAATAGCTTGGCGGAGCGCTTGCCACAACGCTCGGCCACATGGGCGATTCTAGAAGGCAACGAGCGGAGGTGACTCGCCGTAGGAGTCTTCGATCCGCCGCCCCCTGTAGTCTTGCCACAGGGGTACCCGGCGTGCTGAACCCTATGCGGTTTGGTTTTTGGGGCTCAAGATGGCTTCTAAGATTGTCACATTGACCCAAGATGGCCTCCAAGGTGGCCCAAGATGGCCCAAATTGCCTCCGAGTTCGGCGAAGAAGCCACCAAGACGGCCCAAGATGGCGCCAAGACGCCTCCGAGTCCGCCCATGAAGCCTCCAAGATGGCCCAAGACGACCCAAGAGGCCCCCAAGAGGTCTTCAAGACGGTACAGGAGGCCTCCAGGAGGGCGCCCAGGAAGACCCGAAGAGGCCCAAATCATTGATTTGCCTTTAGTTGCTGTAGGATTCGGCCTTCCGACGGCCCGAGACGGCCCGAGAGCTCCCAAAGATCGCCCCAGGATCGCCCCAGAGCAGGATGGCCCCAGAACGGCTCAAGAGGCCCCCAACAGGTCTCTGAGATTGCCCAGAAGGCCTTCAAGGGGGCCTCCAGCAAGGCCCGAAGAGACCCAAATCATTAATGTTGGTTTTTGGCGGCTTGGGGCAGTTGTTCCCCTTCGGCCTTCTGACGGCCCGAGACGGCTCAAGAGCACCCAACGATCGCCCAAGAGGCCCCCAAGATGGCCCCAGAACGGCCCAAGATGCCCCCTAAGACGGCCCCCAAGAGGCATCCAAGACGCCCAAGTTGGCCTGCAAGACGGCCCTGGAACACCCCGATGAGGCCCCAAATCGGCCCAGAGTAGCCCCCAAGACGGCGTCCGAGAGCGTCAGACGGGCCAGGAGGCCACCAAGACGGCCTAAGATGGCTCCAAGATGGCCCAAGACGGCCCAAGAGACCTCCAACAGGTCGCCCAAGAGGCCTCCAAGAGAGCCTCCAGGAAGGCCCGAAGAGGCCAAAATCACTGATTGTCTGGATGTTTCCGTAGGGTGGTTCCTACTGACGCCCAAGAGGCCCCCAAGACGGTCCAAGAGCACCCCAAAGATCGCCCCCAAATCATCCAATATGCCTCCAAGATGGCCCCAGAACGGCCCAAGAAGCCCCCAAGAGGGCCCCAAGAGCACCCAAAGACGGCCCAAGAGGCCTCTAAGACGCCAAAGTTGGTCCCCAAGACGGCCAGGAAGCACCCCAAGAAGGCCCCAAGTCGGCCCAGAGAGGCCCCCAAGATAGCTTCCGAGAGCGTCAGACGGGCCAGAAACGCCATAAGACGGCCAGGCCAAAGAGGCGCCCGAGAAGCCCCCAAAGGCCCCCAAGAGGCCAAAGGAGGCCCCCAAGATGCCTCTAAGACGCTCCAAAAAAGCTCCCAGGAGGCCCCAAGAGTGTCCCCGTAGGCTCCCCAAATGCCCCCTCCTCCTCCTTTTTTTTTTTTTTTTTTTTTTTTTAAAAAAAAAAAAAAAAAAAAAAAAAAAAAAAAAAAGCAACCTTCATGCCTCAGAAGGCTCCCGAGACCTCGCCCAGCGACAAAAACAGGCCGTACCCGAAGGAGGACACGTGGAGCATGGAGCGAGACACCTCCGCATTCATGTACTGGTGCATCTCGCTGGCGTTCAGGCCGAATTGCGAAGACCGAGCCCACAGAGACGAGCGACGGCGCGATCTCGGCGGCAGCCACATTCAAAACGCACGCATCCGTGCACAACTGTACCAGGAAGCCCCGAGTCCGAGAAAATAAAATGCCACCACAGACGCACGAAACCATAGGCCTGGTATCCGAATACACAAGAAAGTCAGCGATCCAACCAGCACATGATCACTCTGGGTCCACACCGTCGGAGTCGTCGAAGACGAGCAAACGAGGAGGAAGCCCAGGAGCCCAAGAAGGCGGCGGCGCATCTGAAGTGAAAAGGCGGCCCTCTCCAGGATCAGGTGGGAGCCCGACGGGCACCCACTGTGCGCTGCTCGACCCGCCCTCAGAGGCGACCACAACGGGGGAGCGGGACCCCGATGCGGGCTGATATACTGCAGCCTCCTGCTTGACGATCTCGGATACAGCATCAGGAAAAATCTGCTGCTCAGTGGAGGCGCTGTCGTGCACGTCGGAGTGGGCCTCCTCCTCCTCCTCCTCCTCCTCCACCTCCTCCGCCCCCTCCTGATCTTCCCCGCCATCCTCCCCCAAGTGTTCCCCGAAGGGTTTCCACAACGGCTGGGAGAACGCATGGTCCGATAGCTTGGCCGAGCTCTTGCCCCGAGGCTCGGCCACATGGGCCGTTCCAGAAGGCAGGGGGCGGCGATTATTCGCCGTAGGCGTCTTCGACAATGTCGAGTATCCCGAAAATGTCTAAACAGTGTCTGTCCAACACGCTGGCGAGGTGACGAACGCGCCTCCCGGGGCCCGACACGTGAACACCGTCCAGTGTCGATACTTCCCGGGTGCTCGAAGTTCCTTTTGGTGATCCAGGCTACGCCATAACTCCATGCCCTGATAGAGGGAGGGAGAGGGATCGGGGAGGCCACAGGAGGCAGAAGGTGGGGGCCCCTCTTCGGGAGCGGCCAAGAGGGGGGTGTCCAAGAGGGGGGGGTGCAAATCATGACCGGCGGCATGTGCGCGGCCCAGCGGGGGGGCCAGGGACGTAATGAACTGAGAAGAGGCGCCAGGAAATCTGGGGAAATATCATGGCCCACGCCATAATATCCACCCCCCCCTAGTCATCACCCCCCTCTTTTCCGCCCCCGACCTCTCCGGCCAGCCCCTGCCGGCTCGCCAGGCCCACGGCTCGCGCGGAGAGCGAGGCGTCCGCTCGAGAGCCCAGCGGTGCGGCGCCCGGGGGGCAGCCCACTCTAGATCGGGGCCTGCGCGGACGGCGTGGGGGTGGTTAGGAAGAGCACGGGGACCATGACCAAGACTGACCGTGGAAATGCCGCGTCGATCTTGGCAACCGTCGATCTCAGTCAGCGTCAACTCGAGGGTTCTCCTCGCGAATCGGCGGCGGCAGGCACGGACCATGACCAAGATCGGCATCGACGAGATCCCGCGACATCTTGGCCATGGTCCCAGTGACTCTTCCATCGGCACCCTGCCTCAGGGCATGCGCAGGCGGAGCCACGATGCCGTCAAAGCGACAACTTCGAATTTTTCGCGGGGGCGGCTTGCCCGCTGCTGGCGGCGGGGCCAGCCGACGACGAGGTCGTGGCGGCCTCGCCGGCCTGCTCCCCTGGCGTGTCCTCGGGCGACGATGCCATTGGGGAGGAAACTGAGAGGGATCATGCTCCCGCTGCTTACCGCCCCTGCGCCAGCTCTTGGCTTTCCTCTCCTCCTCCTCCTCCTCCTCCTCCTCCTCCTTCTCCGCCATCGCCGCTCTGGCTGCAGGGGCCACTGTGCCGCGCGAGGAGGGGCTCTGGTGGAACGCCCTGCTACTGCGCTGATCGCGGCGGCGGCCCGGGCGACTGCACAAGCTTACGCGCCACGCCGCACGTTCGCCGCGGTAGCTCGCACTGCGATGTCCGCCTCGCTCTGTGCAGTGGCGGCATCGCGAGCTGGAGGCGGTGCAAAGCGGCGAAGACAACGACAGTGCCGGGACGACACGGTGGTCCACGACACGGCGGGGCTTCGCCGGCCCCGGACGAGGGGCGGAGGCGTTGCCGCCGCCGCCGCAAGCTGAGCGGAGCGCTGCAGCGCGGAGTGGAAGCGTGCGCGGCGCCAGTGGGGGCGCGCACTGGCAGCGCACAGAAGGGGGCTTGGGCGAGGCCGCCGGTGGCCTTCAGGCAAGCCAGGGGGCGCTTCTTGGAAGCTCTTATCGGGCGTCGCTGGAAGAGCCCTTGGCCGAAGGTGCCCCCAAGATTCCCAAGGAGGCCCCCACGGCCTCCAGAGGACCCCTCACGAGACCCAGAAGGCCCCACGGCTTCCAAAGTGGAGCGGAAAGCTGGGGGGTCTGAAGCTCTCCCGCCCTGCGAGCAGCCGGCCTCCGACCCATCCTGAACGGCCCTCGCCGCGCCCCCCTCTGCGAAGGCCGCGCCCCTCGTCACGCCCGCCCTTGCGCGCCGCCGCCCGGATGGAGCGGGCGCTGCAGCGCACCTCCCACGCGCCGCCCAGCGGACCCTGAGCGGGTGGAGCCGCCTGCCGAGGGCGACCCCCCTGTGCGCCTGCGGCCAGGCCGATGGCGCGCAGAGGGCGGATGCTCCCTGCCGGCGCGGGGCGCCGCGGCGGCCCCGCCAAGGCGCGCGGGGCGCAGAACCATCGCTGCTTTGGTGTCTGCACCCTCGGTTCACCAGCACCCCCAGTGCGGGACTCAAGCACGCGTCCTACGGACTGGAGGTCCAAAGCCTCGCCTGTCAGGCCAACGGGGGGGGCCTACGCACATCATGCACGTGGCGGGCCCGATGCTCCAACGCGGCGTCCATCGCCCCCCCCCTTTCTTCCCTGCCGCGCAGGCGAGTGGCCGACTGTGTCACTCTTGCCCCCGCCGCTCCCGACCCTGCCACTCCGCCCGCGGACCCCCCGCCCGCTCCCCCCGCCCGCGACTCTCCTCCCGCCTGCTCCCACCGGCGGACCCGTCGAGGGCGAGCCGCGCCGAGGGCGAGGCCCTGCCTGGGGCGCCCGGGGGGCAGGCGCAGCGGGGGGGGCCTCCCGGTGCCCTCGGAGGGCCTCTTGGGGAGCGCTTGGGCCGCCTCGGGGCTCTCTTGGCCCGTCGGACGCGCTCGGAAGCCTTCTTGGGGGCCTGTCAGGGCCGTCTGGGGCCTTGGGGCCACCTTGGGGCGCCAGGGCACTCTTGGAGCCCTCTTGGAGGCCTCTTTAGCTGCCCTGGGGCCCTCTTGGGGGCGTTCTGGAGCCGGGGCCCGGGCGGCCACGTCGCTGCTGCGCGGGGGCGCTCCGCTGGAGGCGATCGCGGGCCCGGCGGGGCACTGTGGCGCGCGGGCGCGCGCCGAAGGCGCCTGCGGGGGCCAAGCCGCCGCGAGGGGCGCCAGGTGGGCGTGCGCGGGCCGCAGAAGGCGGGCGCGGAGGGCCGTCGGCAACCTCGTTCGGCGGAGGTCTCGGAACGGGCGCGGCGGCGAGCGGTTGCTCCGCGGAGCGCGGCGGCGTCGAGGCGAGAACGGCGTCGTGCGCTCTGTTTCACCTCAAACACACCCCCACAACAGCTCACCAAAAGGAGCCGGCCGCGTGGAGATCAGCAGTGAGGACAAACATTTCCTGGTCAGGTGCCGCTGTCACGGAGGTGCCCATGGAACTCGTCGGGCCGAGAAGGAAGAACGAGTGGGAGGGCGCCGCGCCGTGGGGTGGAGGCGGGGGGGGGGCTGCGGGGCGGGGGAGGGGTGATGCGAGCGAGGGTGCGCCCAGAACCGAGGGCGAAGCAATGAAGCATGGCCTTCTCCTGCCCTGCCCCTCTGCTTTCGGGCGCACGCTGGCGTGGAGATCTGGCGCATGGATTGCCCGCTCCACGGATCGGGGAGCGCGCCCCCGAGACGTGCACCCCCAGCGCCGCCTGCCGCGGCCACGGCGCGCGCCGACCCCGCGCGGCACGGGGCCAAGTCGCGGATCCACGCGCCCGAGGCCGCGCCTGCGCCTCCTCGGTGCCTCCGCCCCCCCCCCGGGCCTCGCTCTGGGCATCCTGCCTTCGGGGTGCGCGTCCCGCTGCCCACGCCCTGCGCCACGCCGCCCGTGGGGCAGCGGGGGCGCAGGGCCAGGAGCTGGGCCCGCCAAGCCAGACCGCCGCTCGGGACCCCCTCCCCTCGGGCTGGGGACCGTGTCCTCGGTGACGTCCTCCTCGGGTGCTCCTGCTCATCTCTCCTCTTGTCTTGGCCATACTCTGGGCGACGGAGTTCGCAGCGTGTGGACGCTCCCTGCAAGCGGCTCAGAGAACGTGCGATCAACTCTGATAAGCAACACAATCACCTCAGTGCAGACTACGCGGCGCAGTAGGTGCGAAGACAACCGGAAAAAAGAGAAGCCCGCGAGGGCAAGAGTATCAGTGATGTGATGATGGTAAGGAAGTCCACGGTGACACTATAATCCCCCGCCCATCTCCGGCGAAGAACCCCACCTTCCCAGCGAGCGTCGCCCTTGCCGAGAGCCTACATCGCACAGGGCCAGATGTTACGATGCGGGTCGTCTCGCCTCCTCCTCCTCCTCCTCCTCCTCCTGATCCCTGCTCCTTCACCCATCCCGGAGGCTTCCGAGAGGGCGTCGCCGAGAGGCGCCTCCTAAATGGTTTGTAAATGTCTTGCTCCTCGATCAGATGGAAGGGGGCTTCAGGAAGAGGATGATCAGAAAGAGGAGGACAAAGAGGAAGAGGAGGAGCATGAGAATGACGATGATGGGGCTGAGCAGGAGGACGAGGAGGCAGATGATGACGGCTTCAGGAGAACAGGAGGTGGAGAAAGGAGCGGTGGGTGGATGGGGTGGAGAAAGACGTGGACGAGGAGGCAAAAAACAGCGGGAGATGGAGGGGAAGGAGGACGATTAGGATGGGGAGAGCTCCAGGGAAGGATGGTGGGTAATCAAACGTTGATCAGAAGATGGACGAGGAGAGGGGAATGAGAATGATGCTGAGGAGCAGGAGGAGAAAGTTGTGGAAGAGGAGGGTGAGTGACACGTGCAACACGGGGTATGAATACGAGGAACATCACAATTTAACCAGCCCTCTTCGCTGAGGTGGTCTGGGGGGCTTCCTCTTCCGACCCCCTTCTTCTCCATAAGGGGAAGGAACTCCATGGATGCATCCTTTTCTCCTGCCGCATCCCCTGCGATGCGTGGGAGCGTCCAATATGACACAATAACGTCCCAGATGACCCGAGATGGCCTCCAATGAGGCGTAACGTTGACGATGATGGCTTAAACTGCCATCCAGCATACCTCCACGAGGTCCCAAGAACGCCCCAAGACAGCTCCGAGTGGCCACGGATCCTCCCAAAGAGGCCCCATCGAAAAGCCGCCAAAATCCTTTCGACACCTTTGGGGAACCAACGATTGCTGCAATCTCGCAATTTTGCTTCCCATGATCTCCTGCGGCGCCTCATTCAACGCGGCCTCTGCGGCCGGCCAGGAAAACATCTATGGCTCACCCCCGGGTCCGCTCGGCATGTTCGAACATGTCGGATTGGCGGAACCATATTCTAGCGTTCGGCAAACTTCAATTCTCAAATTGTAGCCTCTCCCCCGTCTCTCTTCCACCACACACTTCCGCACTTCCCTGGCCAAAACGACTCGCCTGGGCATCCGTTCCGGAAGGCCAGCTGGGGAGATACTCGAAACGCAAAAGATCCCCGAGGATGTCGGCATCGCGAGGGTATTTTCTCATCCATCGTCTATGCTGATCTCGGGTCCAAGAAACGGCCTCGACAGGCCGAACAAATATGCAAACTTGGGCACACATTGATTTGCGGTTTGGCGACTTACGATTGCTTTTTCCAGCAAGAGGTTCACAAACGCCCAGACCCCTTCCCCGGGGCCAACGTTCATCCAGGGCAATTTTTTGATGTTCCGCTACAACACACAGAATGCCACACACGATAGTAGTACGTAACATGCTCCACATGAAGCGAACGACATTCTGCATTCCCTTTATCTGGAGGTCTAGTAATGCACAATGCACGTCGCATACATATATCACAGTGTGAGCAACACTGCCCAGCACGCATGCTCTACATCTTATCGACACGAAGCGTGAATGACTTGGCACGCGACCTGAAGCAATAATGAAAACTTGCATTCACTCAGATGGGAAGTTCGAAGATCGAAGTATGTGGCTACTCTGCGTCTCTTTGTAGGCGGGGGGGCGTCACCCCCGCCGACAGCCCCACATCGACCCAGGGCAGCCACCGCGCGCCGAAGGCGCCCCGACCCCCGTCGCGGCGCGACGACGAGGCGAGGTTGACCCCCGTCGCCCCCCCCGCCACTCCACGCTTATTAGGAAACCCAGGGTCGGCTTGTTTCTGGGTCAGTGGATGCTTCCTTTGGGGCCGAATAGATCTTGATAACGACTCAGAGGTGGCACCACAGTTTGCGGTCGCGCAATTATCCCAAGTGGGGGTCATTCTTTCGTCCCGCGGACGATGGGAATACCACCAGAGGTAACCCGCCTGCGGCCCCACGAGCCCCCCATGTTGGTCCGGGCCCAAAAACTATGGGACCTCTTCGGGGTCCTGCAAAACTATCTTGCTTTATCATCTCCGGGGGGCCGGGGGCCCCGGGTAGCGGCAACGCCTGGGCGGGGCGGGGCACATCGGGTCGGGGGTGCGCTGCGATCGCCACAGTACGCGCGCGAGCACCAGCATGTGGGTGGGGTGGGGGGAGCGAGGCCCCCTTTCCCCCCCACGTACGATGGTTGCCGTTACCCAGGGGGCGGCGCTGGACCCCCCTCCCTGGCGCGCGGAGCGCGCCAGGAGCAGCGCCGGAGGCGCCACCAGCGGGGCCAGCGCGGATCCGAGAAATCCGCGCGGACCTCCGAGTTTTTATGTTTATGTCATTGCCCGTTCCCTTAGGGCTGGCCCCGCTGCGTACCAGAACATGGCACACAATCTCTTCGTGGGCACCCAGGCCTCTAAACCCCTTGCCCACGGCCGGCCTTTCACTCCGCAGCATTTTGTTTTCTTGTTGGCTGCCCTGGGGCCCGATGCGCCTGTAGGCCAGCAGCGGCGAACAACCAACCGTCGTGCGGATGTCTGGGCCTTGGCGGGCCCTCTCAGGAGGCAACTCAGGGGAGATCTTTGCAAGAACGGTGAAGCTGGATGAAGGGGCCATGGAACCCGATGAGGGCGCCATTCAGCCGGATCTTGCCGGACTAAACGGGATCAGGTGGAATTAAACGGGTGTGTGCCGCATTGACAGGTTCTCGACCACTGACATACCAGCGCCGATACTGAATGTACCCTCCCAGACTTACATCCTAAGCCCTGGGAGCGGCATGGCCGTCCTGTTTGATAACGCTCAATACAAAATAACGGTGAAAGAAAGACTCACTGAAACGGAAAGAAAACGGCATTGGAAACGACAAACAACAACCACGACAACGACAATACCACGGCGAGCGGACTCGAGCTCAAGGCAGCGGGAAGCTTTTGGGACCCCCTGGCCCGAAAACGATCGAGACCAGGTCCGAAATGGTCCAGAACCAAGGCCCGATTCCTTCTGTCGCACTCAAGAGAACATACTCGTACAATGCTCCTGTTTCAGACGCACGCCCGATCCGAGCATGCAGTACAGCCATATTACAATAGATCGTTGCTCAACAAACGTTGACATTCTTTCCTCTTCCAAGAACCCCTCTCTCCCTTCGGGGAGGGGTTCATTATTGTTCCGTATTAATAAACACCCCCTCCCCCACCCGGCCGGCAGCCAACCTGGAACCATGCGCACACCATGAGAGCCCCCCACCCCCACCATCCCTATCAAAAACGATACAAACGCGCACTCTGCCTCCAAATTCGGAGCATGCGCAAACAACCTGCTATGCCCCCCCCCACCATTCCTGTCAACAAAACAATACACAATACAGTTTGGGGCAGAGTCTGCAGTCATGTTCGCGAGGCCCGCGGGCTCTTTGTATTGACAGGGACGGCGGGGGTGTCAGCATATTGCCTGCTGCGCGCGGGGCTACCATCACTGACAACACATACAATACAAAATGCACCTCGCGGCTAAATGTGGATAGTGCGCGGCCACCCCGCGATCATTGTCAAGTGGTTTTGTCAGGGACGGCGGGGGTGGTGCTGTATGGCCTGCTGTGCGCAGGCCCACCAGACACAATGAGGGGCATTGGTTTTCGACAGGGATGGTGAAGGCCGACACATTTCCCGATGTGTGCTGTCATGTGCGCTGGCGCACCTGACACACTCTGCACGTGCCCCGGACGTGGCGCACCTGGCGCGGCTGGAGGGAGCATCTGGCGCACTAGGCGTGCCTTTCACGCTCGGGCCCCAGGGGTGACTGGCGCGCGTGGCGCGCCTGGCACGCGTGGCGCATCTCGCCCCAGCGTCGCGCACATGGGCTCGGTTCTCAATAGCTGTCCATCAAAAGACGACCGCGGAACATGCTGAGGCTCGGGTGTTACTTCCGTGCTGGGAGGGCGGGTGGGAGTGTGCTAGACGGCTTGCTGTCTGGAGGGTGTCTTGACCCCTCCCCCTACCCCCTCCCCGGACCTGGACGGGAGGGGCCGCAATCTGTTGGAGCGTCCAAGATCGGCCCCTGGGCGGGCCAATTTTGACACCGCTCACGCGGACCGTGGCCCCCAAGGGGGAGGGGCCGCCGATCGGGGACCCTCCCTCCTTTGATCGATAGCCTCGAAAATGGCTCCGAGAGGCGATCCAGGGCAGAGCCCCAAGAGAGCCCCAAGAGGGCTCCAAGAAGGTCCAAGAGGGCCCCAAGAGGCACCCGAGAGGCCCCCATGAGGCCTCCGAGCGGTCTGAGAGAGCCCAAGATGACCTCCAAGATGGCTCAGATAGCCCAAGCTTCAGATAGCCCAAGCTGGCTCAATATGGCTCCCAAGATGCTCCACACGGCCCCAAGACCGCTCCAAGAGCGCCCAAGAGCGCTCCAAGGGAGCCCCAAGAAGCGGTGTGCCGGCTCCTGAGGGGGGAGTTGAGTTGGGGACCCCCCAATCCTGTAACCGATGGCCTCCAAGATGATCCCAAGAAGCCTTCCAGGGTTACCAAGAGGGTTACAAGAGGGCCCCAAAAACTCCCAGAGAGCACCAGCAGCAGCAGCAGCAGCACCAGCACCAGCAGCAGCAGCAGCAGCAGCAGCAGCAGCAGCAGCAGCAGTACCAAGATGGTTCCATGAGTCCTCGTCCGCGTCGTCCTCATCCTAGTCCTCGTCCTCCTCGTCCTCGTCCTCATCCGCGTCCTCGTCCTCATCCGCGTCCTCGTCCTCCTCGTCCTCGTCCTCGTCCACCTCCTCCTCCTCCTCCTCCTCGCCCCCACGCGGCACCCAGGGATGGCCGAAGAGGCCTTCCAAGGCCACCCCCTTGCTCGCTTTGTTTCCCTAGATCTGTGTCTTCGTCTCTTTTCCCGTCAGCTCTGAAGGGCAGGGTTTCTGAATGGGCTGGTGGGGATACTTTTTTTTGTCCGGGCGGACGCGGATTCGCAGTCGCCGAGCTGAGAGGTCCGGGCCACGGGCCTGTCAAATTAGCAACGCGCAGGCCTAAACGAGCAGGCTGGTGGGGATGCGCGAAGCGTGAAGAATTTCATTCCTGGCACACATGGCATATGATCGGAAACTATTGCTTGGTGTGTGGCGGCGGCGGCCGCGACGCCACGCTATGCCGTGCAAGCCAAGCTGACAGCGTGTTGCACCGCTGCGCGGAAGGCTGAGAAAAGCTCGGGACGCTGACGCCAAGGGGACCGCGACGTGGTCAGCGCGTCGCGCCGAGGCGTGGTGGGCCCAGAACCCGCGGCGCGACCAACGGCAGCTCAAAACCGGCCCCAGGACCGTGCCGGGTCCAGGCGCACCACTCTGGGCCCGGCCGCGGCGGCGAGGAGGGCCCCCCCGAAGGCCATCTGCCGTGGCCTCGGTTCGCTGCCCTCGGAATCTTGGAGGTGCCCGACCAGAGTCCTGCTCGCGCGCGAGCGCCTCGTCCCGCAGCTTCTGCTTCAGCCGCGCTCGCTGCTGCCGGCGCTTGGTGCTGCGGTTGGTGCTGCCCTGCGGGCGTGCCGGCGAGGGGGGCCAGGGAGAGGGGCCCGGGCCCGAGCCCGAGCCCAGATCCAGGCCTGGGCCCGGGCCGAGCGCGCGCAGCACGGCCCGAGGCACGTGCGAGGACGAGGGGAGCTCTCTCCGCCTTCAAGTCGGGTGCGACCCCGACCCGTCGGGTTGGCAGCAATGCGGGGTTAGGCTCACCGCTTCCAGGCTCTCCGGGCCGCTCCTGGACCCTGGGGCGGCCAACACGACGCTCTGGGGCAAGACCACGGTCCCAGGACCAGGAGCTGTTTCGACAAAAAGTCGAGGGGCCAGGAAACCTAGGAGATCCTATTCCTCTGGCGATGACACCCGACCGCCCCGCAATCCTCGTGCTGCCAGAAGAAACGCGCGAGGAGGAACACAGGGGCTCCCTTGGCCACGGGCCTCTCGACCTAGATCTGCGCAGCGGAGAGCCCCGCCTGAGCCCAACGTGGTTCCTCTTTTAGCGTCTGAAGCTGTTCGAGTCGAAGTTGGAGTACCATGTGGTACCTGCTCTAGAACAGGAACGTACTGTAGAAGTATTTACCCTTGCTCCGACCTTGCACCGCGCCGAACGCAACGGCCATGTTGCCCATAGACGTATCCACCCCGAGAGTGTCTATGGACGGCACGGCACTCAATGTGCCCATAGACCTTTTTGGCTAGGACGTGAGAAAGGTATTCGGTATCGGCCCCAGAGATTGGCCCTCTAGAAGCAGCTAGGATTGGCCCTCCAACATAGAAAATCGACTATACCCCAGAATACGAAGCATGCCTACACTGTTCGTAAACATACGAGCATTCTACATATTTTGTGGTAGATTCGATGGGAGATGCTTTTGGGGTAATGCAATTCTGAAGTCGAATTCCTATTCGAACTGTGTAGTCCTCCCCCCCTCTCTTGGCCGCCTGCCTTGCCTGGTGTACGCGCGCCCCGCCGCCGCGGGAGGCACAGATCACCCCCAGCGGGGCCGCTGGGCTCCAAACTCTGGCCCTCGGATCGAGGATCGGAGCTTTGAGCTCTGGTCGCCCGTTCTGGGCCTCCTTCGGGCGCGCGCTACCACTGAGGAGAACAACTATCTTGTTGGGAGGACGGGGTTGGAAGGATGAAGGGTATGAGCAATAGTATCCATATGCAATGAAGGATACGTTCGGCAGCCTACGGGTAATGATATCCACATTTCTCCCACCCCCAACCTCCCAACCCGATAAGTGTCTTCCTGAACCACTGATTACGAATCCGTGGATCAGGCGAATGGGCGTCAGGTCCACGAATCTGAGGAAGTGCCCCTAAAAGCACCGCCTGTGTTGGCGACGGAAGCGCGCGGCCTCTGTAGGGAGACGCGGCTCGTCGCGAATCCACGCGCCGACTCCTGGAGCACCCTCGTCGTCACCGCTGAGCCCCTCTCCAAACTCTGCTCAGCACGCGCGCCAGGAAGGATCTATGTGTCAGTTCTGACGCTTACAGTAGGAGCCCGACCACATGAAACCCTCCACAAGAAACCCAACCCAGAGACCCCAGGACGTCCATTGATTTGCGGCGTGGGAGCGTCACGCTTTCCATTACAAAACAATCGAAATCCAAGAAACCCAGGGCCCCTTGGAGGCAAGCAGGGTGTTTCTTGGCATGGAGCCTAGAGGTCAAGGACCGCTTCCCTTAGGACCCGCTTCCTCCATGGCAGCCCGGTGTCCCGAGCCCAGCCAGGGGAGGGGGTCCCTCCTCCTATTCCTCCTCCTCGCCCCCCCCCCTCCTCCTCGACGACATCTGGAGGTCCCTGGAAGCCCTCGAAGCCCCTGAAGGTCTCGAGAGGTCTCTGGAGGCAGGGCCCAGAAACCCGACTCATCTAACCTCGGGCCCCGCCCCCGATCCCGACCCCGACGACGACGACGACGACGACGACGACCTTAACCACGACGACGACGACGACGACGACGACGACGACGACGACGGCGACGGCGACGGCGACGGCGACGGCGACGGCGACGGCGACAGGGACGGCGACGGCGACGGCGACGACGAAGACGACAAGGAGGTGGAGGACGACTTTGGGTGACCCACAAGGGGGTCCAGCTGAAAGGGGGCGGTGCAATAGATTCCGGGCAAGTGTATTGCAGATGCACTGCGCCGGAGAATTGTATTGCATTGTACTGCAAGTAGTAGTGTATTGCACGCGAACATCCAGCAAGACACTTGCGCCCTGGAGCGCATTGCACGCCCCCAATGTATTTCAGCCCCACAAATCTATTGCACCGAATTGACTACCTACCAGACCACCCCAACCCAACCCGAAGACCCGAATTTGACCCGAATTTCGGGTTGGGGGGGGTACGGGTTCCATATGTGTTTTTTCAACGTTCCCCGACCCCCCCCCCACTGGAAATGGAGGAGGAGGAGGGGGAGGAGAAGGAGGAGGAGGATGAGGAGGAGGAGGAGGAGGAGGAGGAGGAGGGGGAGGAGGAGGAGGGAGAGGAGGAGGAGAGGAGGGGGAGGGTCCACCCGAACGACGGCGGAGAGGTGGCTCGGTGTCCGGCCCGCCTGTGGAGCCGCCGCGTCGTCGCCCTCGGCCGCCCCCTCGGCGCCGTCCTCCTCGGAGTCGTCGCTGTGGAACTCCTCGGCTCTCTCTTTTGGGCAGGGGGGGGGGAGAGGAGAGGAGGATGCAGATAGGGCGACGAAATCTATACATATCCACTGCTCCCTGGCCAGGCCCAGTCTGAACCCAGCAGCGGTGTACACGTCGCGCCCTCCTGGCTCGGCCAGGAGGGCGTATACACAGCTCCCAGGTTCAGGCTGGGCCTGGCCGGGGAGCAGTGGATATGTATAGATTTCGTCGCCCGAGCAGAGGGCGAGGGGGGAGGAGAGGAGGGAGGAGGATGCAGAGGTGACTACCTACCAGACCACCCCAACCCAACCCGAAGACCCGACTTTCGGGTTGGGGGGGGGGTACGGGCTTCATGTGTGTTTTCTCAACGTTCCCCGAACCCCTCCCCCCCCCCCCACTGGAAATGGAGGGCAAATTTGGGCCTTCGGGTTGGGTTGGGGTGGTTTGGTAGGTGATGCAGAGGGCGAGGGGACGAAGAGGAGGGAGACGAGGAGGAGGGGGAGGCGAAGAGGGGGGAGGAGCGAGGGAACGAGGAGGACGAGGAGGATGGGGAGAAACCGCAGCAAAAGGTGGATGAGGGGGGTGCGGGAGCAAGCTGGTCGTCGTGTGGCCGAGGGGCGGTTGGAGGCGGTGGTCCGTGCTGTTAGCAGAAGTCCCTCCCCCGGGTCTTCACCGACAGCGAGGCCCAGGGCGCCCAATGTGGCTGCCAATATGCCGCCGAATAGCCTAAGATAGCTCCACAATGCCTTCCACAGGGCCCAGGACGGCCCCAATAAGTCTCCGAGTGGCCACGGAGCCTCTTCAGGGATGCTTCCGAGAAGCCAAGAGCCGTTCAACATAACATCCTTGTTTTGATGGAGTGTGTTTTCCCGCCTGTGTGCTTCTGATGGCCTTCGGAGCACCAAGATGGCCCCAAATGCCCTACGATGGCCCACAACAAAAACTGGCTCAAGATGGCGACAGGCCCCATACCGGCTCCAAGTGGCCACGGAGCCCCTCAAGTTCGTCCATGAACGGTCAACATCCGCCACATTCCCATGTTCATAGGGTGTTGCCTTCTTGCCTTCTGGCTTCCGATGTGCTCCTGACGTTTCAAAGACGGTTACAAGATCGCCCAAGAAATCCGAATAGGGACCGCTAACTTTGGTTGACCCACAAGGGGGTCCAGCTGAAAGGGGATGGTGCAATAGGTTTGGGGCGAACTGCAAATGTAGTGCGCCATAGAACTATGTTGCATTGTATTGCATCTAATGTAGCGCACGCGAAAACCCAGCAATACATTTGCGCTTCGGAATGTATTGCACGCCCCAAATCTATTGCAATCCAACAAGTCGATTGCACCAGATCTATTGCACCGCCCTCTTTTCGCTGGACCCCCTTATGGGTCAAACAAACTAGAACTTGCTAGGCCGCCCAGCAGCGCCTCCAAGAAATGATGTATGGGGATCCAACGGGGCGAGGCTCTAAGAGATGCCCGAAAGAGCCCAGGAGGCTCGTAGCTAGATCGAAAGACCCACGGTGGCCTTTATGATGGTTGACTCCTGGGTCCGGTCTGGCTGATCCCGAGCTTCGGTTTGATGGTGGCTGCCTGCCTCTTGTTCGGCTACATGCTCCTGCGCTTCCCACAGCCAGTGTAGCGGACATGAGGTATTCTGAAAAGGACGACCGCGCCGCAAGCAGCCAATTGTGGAACAAATCTGCGGAGCCCTGATTAGGGAGGAAATCTCACTCGAGATTTGAAGTACGAGTTGAAACTGGCGAAGCTGCTTCGCTCTGTCAGAAAGCATCTGAGGACGTATCAGGCGAAATCATCAGACCGCCCTGCCGACACTTCTGCTGGTGCGACCAGGAGGGGCTGCTTGATCCCGAGAAGTAGGAGCAGACAAAAAAAAACGCATGGCGAGAATGAGGACGCAAGGAGAGGGCGAGGGGGGACGGGGGCAAGGCAGGATGTCGAGCCTTGACCATTCCTTTTCTGATTCCTTCCTCTCCCCTCCCCCAACCCCTGACCGACCAGATCCCCCTCCCATTCCCCTGTCACCCACTCCCCCCTCTTCCTTCTCCTCCTTGTTCTCGACGTCACTGCGCGTCGGCAAGGGCGTTGGCGTCGTCATCGATGGCTGGTCGTATGCTTACGTCTTTGAGGCGTCGTGCCTTGCTTCCCTGTCGTGTCTGTTATTCGGCAAGCACAGCGTGCGTCAAACCAGGTCGCCGTCCCCGTGCCGCTGCCCTCTCCTCCAGCTCCTGCCCCTGATGCTACTTACTCCTACCCCCCTGCTCTGTGCCTCCGCCTCCGCCGTCCGCCCCCTCCGCCCCCTCCATTCACAGCCAGCTCTGCCTCCACTTCCACTCCCGCCTCCGACCTCTGCTCCCGGATTATAGACACTCCGGGTTGGCCGTCGATAGGCGTCAGAGAGGACCCCCCCGCCACCACCTACACAGAGCTGGACGGAGCGCGCGTGCCGCACCAGGCAGCACGCGGGCACCACACCATCGCTGCTTGCCTTTTGGCAGGGATGTCAAGCGTACCTTCCGACGAGGGCCCAAAGAGGGCCCGACGAAGCGAACAGGTTTCTGAGGACCTTTACCAATCCCGCGACTTTACCAATCTCGCGACTTTACCAATCTCGCGACTTTGCCAATCCTTTGACATTCCTCAGGGTTCTGCGCGACTTGACCGATCTCGCCTTTTCGGGTCCCGAGGCTCCAAGACGGCCCAAGAGCCCGCCAGCGGGCGCCCAAGAGCCCCCTCCACGGCCCGAAACAGTTCCCAAGAGGCCACCAAGCCGGCCCGAACCAGTTCCCAAGAGGCCACCGAGAAGTCCCCAGAGGCACCAAACGGTCCCCTCATAATGCCTCGCCCGTGAATTTCTCTCTTCTCCTGCGAGTCGGCGGGATGGCGTACGGCTCCTGGGTCCGCCCGTCCACCAGGCTGAGGGGCGCGTGAGGCACAAGTGTGGGAGCTCCTTGCAGGGCTTTGACACCCCCTTTCCCCCCCAGAAGCCCCCGCCATTCCGCCGCCCTGCTGTATCAATGCCACTCTTCTGGGCCCCAAGACGCCTTCCAGGCCGCGTCCAAGACGAACTCGACTTTCAGACCGCACCAAGTACGCCCTCGGGGGGCAGTTTGGCTCCATTATCGCTCCTTCTGGGTCCCTTGAAGTCACTCCCGGGGTCTTCAAGAGCGCCTCTTAGGCCCAACTTCCCTTACAAACTCGGCACTTTAGAAATATTCCGAAACACATGCGTGTTTTTCGCCAGGGATCGCCCAGACGCCTTGAACATCTAAGTGTCGGGCTCGTCTGGGGTAGTTTTTTCAAAATGCGACTGCGTTTCTGGGTGCGCTCCAAGATCAATGTGGGACGATGTTGGGCCCAGCTTGGACCCCAAAGCGAAGCCAAAACCGACCCCTTCATGGCACTCGGACGGGTCTGCGGCCCAGCGTGGAGTGCTCTCTTATGGGCCGTCCAAAGGCTCCCTTGGGCCACCTCGTGCCCTTCTTGGCCCCGCTTCGGGCCCTTCCCGGGGCTCTCTTCGGCCCTCGTGGGCGCATTTGGGGCCGTTTGCGGGCCGTCTTTGGCTGGCCTCGGGCAGTGCTCTAGCTATATCTGGCCTCCTGCTGTGGATAAAGACTACGGGCTCCAGAGAGCAAGCGTCCATACCACTGATCCGCTGGTCATGAGATCGATCCGCCACACGGCACACCTAAGCCCAATCTGCGATGGGCGGAGGAGGCGTCGGGCGCAGGAAACGAATATAAAATACACATGTGGGGAATCTGTTGTTATTTTCTGGACAGTGTTACCAGCCTTGGCGCCGCCTGCGTCTCTTCGGGCGAGAATTGGAACGGGCGGAAGGTGAACGTGAAGCTTCTTGAAACATGCACTAGAGGGCGTGAGAACATGTTTCACTGTATGTCGCTAAGCCTCCCTCGTCAAGACAACGCACTAAGCATCGTTACCGGATGGGCTGGTGGGGATGCGCGATGTGCCGAGAATTACGTTGGGGAGACGGGAGGGTCTCCTGTTGGGACCCCGACCTCCGATTACACCGCCCCGCCCTCTCCTTCCCCACCCCCTCCCTCTTCCTCGTCCTGGTCGTCCTCCTCGCCGCCCCCCCATCCTCCTCCCGCTCCCGCCCCGCTCCCTCGGACAGCGGTGGCGGAGGGAAGGTAGCAGAATGGGCCTTCGACACAGGCTGTTCGCCGTGGCCGCGCGATCGATGGCGGCATGCAGAATTGGGCAGGGTTGGGGCAGGGGGGGGGGGGGGGCATCCCGTACAGACCCCCCCCCCTGGGAGGATGAGGACGAGGGAGGACGAGCATCCGCCTGTCTGGCCCTTTGGGCATCCAAGGACCCCCAGAGACCTCTGAGGAGGCGTAGAAGAGGGGTGGGCCTTGCGGGGCCGACCCCTCTGGGGAGCCCCCCTGCCTCCTTCGAAGACTGTCCCTCCCCACCCCCCGCCTTGGCCCAGCCCGCGTTGCTCCTCCTTTTCCTTCTCCTTCTTCTCCTCCTGCTCCTCCTGCTTTTCCTGCTCCTGCTCCTGCTCCTGCTCCTCCTTCTCCTCCTCCTCCTTCCTCTCCTCCTGCCGCTCCTCTTCTACATCAGCGCTACGAGCGTTTGCCCCGTGCCGTGTTCCACCAAGACATCGCTTCGACATGAAATTTGGAGGAAAGCGTGACCATAATGGGAAAGAAGCCCCCGATTTCCGCCCGGAATGAAGCTCTGGGCGGAATCGTTATATGCCGACTTCGAGCCCGAAAGGGTTCGACTTCAGATGTAGGAACGCCTGCGCGGAACAGCCGTTTCGACTTTGAATCGAAAACTCGCCGTGTCATGAAGAGGAACTCATGAACGGAATCGCCGTGTCGACTTCCAACGTCAAGGTTTTCACATCATATGCCTTTTTGTTCAAGGAAGTCTCAATCGGACTCGTGGTATCCACTCGGTCAACTGCTCTAGTATTCAACCATTCAAACTGCCCAGCCTGGAAGGTTGCAGTGTGCTGCCTAAGGTTCGAAATCGAAACATCGACCCGGCCAAATGCCTCTTGAACAAAACCCTGCGGCCGAAGTGCGATTTGGCTCGGGACTGCCTCATTAACGCAAGTTCGACTGAGGCGGGACATGGCTGGGCAGGTGGCCACACTGCGCAAAACTTCGCGATTCGAAACACGGAAACGCACCGTGGCAATATTGTCCTAGGGCCCAGCCGCTTAACGGGAAGCGTTACATTTCGGCCAAACTTTCGCCAACGCCGAAATATGGCTACGGGGGGGGCTGCCCATCGTGGAGGCCCAACGCGCAGCGGCAGTTCGAGATCGTCAACCTGATATCGCCCGCCATTTGGCACGCAGACACGCCCGCGCTGTGCTGTAGGCTGCGCTTCGGCGCCTTGTGCTGGAGCGCGGCCCACCGGACTCACGGAATGACTGTGCCTGGGTGCTGCTGGCGAGGCTGGGCGTCCACCGTCACCATAGGGAGGCGGACCAGCCGAGGCAAGAGCGGCTCTGCCACCACGGCCCGAAGCCGCTCACGATCGGTCGTCGCCGTCGCCGTCGTCGACGTCGGCGTCGTCGTCGTCGTTGTCGTCGTCGTCGTCGGCGTCATCGTCGTCGTCGTCGTCCTGCTCTTCGTCTGGGTGCTGCTGGCGAGCGAGTTCCACGACCTTAGCAGCGGCGTCGGCGGAACGCTGCGTGGCAACGCGAGGCGCGTGCCCCCGGGCGGCCTCGCGCGCGCATCTCTGGGAGGACGCCGCAGGGGCTGCGGCGGGCCCTCGTCTGGGCCACGGTGGCGGATGCCTTCATGCTGCGGCTCCGCCCTTCGAGCCGCAGGCGACCGGCACAACCGCAGGCGGCCAGCAGCGCGGCCTGGGCCTGCGAGCACGCATGCGCCGCAGCTGTCGGCAGAGCTGGCAGCCGATGGGCCTGGGCCTTCGTTTCCTGCCACGCCTTCCCCCCGGTGGTGGAGGGCACCGAGCGTGGGATGCCTCGCGAGGCGGTGAGCTCCGACGCCGCATGGGCTTCTCCTGAACCCCCATGGCGACGAAGTCCCTCTTGCTTGGCGAGGCGTGGTGCAACCGAACGTGGCAACCAGAACGGACTTCGGCGTGGCTGCCTGCGCGACCCGGGTCGACGTGCCGCTCTTGCCTTCGGCAGGGGCTGTCCGGTGGTGGAGGCCACGTCTGCGCCGGCGGAGTGGCTCGGCGGCGCCACCGACTGCTTGCAGGTGGGCTCGGGTGCGGCGTCCTGATCCTCCCGGCCAAGCGGCTCCCTCCTCCGAGCCGACGACGAGCCCCGTGGAGTTCACCAGGCTCGCCGGCGGCTCGGGGGACGGCTGCAGTTTTACTGGCTGGGCGACGATCAAAACAAAAAGGTCTTGCGCGAGACTGCACAGCGACCTCACGCGGCGGCGTACGCGGGCTGCCAGCGCGGCACTCTGCATTGGAAGCGAGGGTGCATACGCGCGACCTTACGCGAGCAGCTTACGCGCCAATGTCGGCGCAGACGATCCCCTTTCTTGCGTCACCCAACTGGCCTTCACGCTAGCAGTGGGCCCACATCAGTTCGAGAACCCCAACTAACCATCCTCTTCCTGCCGTTCCTCCTCATCCTCCTCTCTTCCTCGTCTCCTCCTCCTCCTCCTCCTCCTTCTCCTGCCCCCCTCCCCCTCCTCCTCCTCCTCCTCCCCCTCCTCCTCCTCCTCTTCTTCCTCCTCCTCCTTCTCTTCCTCCTCCTCCTGCCATCTCTCCTCCTTCTGCCCATCGCGCTCCTTGAGACTGCTCGCCGAAGACGCCTCTCTCTCTCTCTCTCTCTCCAGCCCCTCCTCCCACTGGGGACCATACAAATCCTCCTGCACAGGACCTCCAAGATTCCTCGAACACATTCCTGCTTTTACCTGCCTCTTCGTTCTCCGTCTCCTCCCTCCTCATCCTTCTCCTTGCCTGTGGCACCAGTCCCTCCTACCATCGTCATCCTGGCCCCCCTCCCTTCGTCATCCTCATCGCCGGTGCCGCCGCCACCGGCGTTGGCAGGCCGCCGACGATGCCGTCGAGCCACCGTCGAACCACCGTCGCCGCCGTCGAGCCGCCGCCGCCGCCGTCGGCGAGCCTCCATCGCCGTCGTCGCCGCCGTCGCCGTCGAGGCGCCGCCGCAGTCGTCCAGGCGGTCGTCGTCTGCGCCGGCGGGCGTGGCAGGGAGCCCCAGGCCTTGTGAAGGAGCACGTCGTCGCCCGGCACCACGCACTGCCGTGTGCCCGGCAGGTAGCCCTCCTCGGAGGTGGCGGACGCCGAGTCGCCCGAGGAGGCTCCGGAGGCGGACGCCGACTCGGATGTCGAGTTCCTGGGGGGAGCTTTTGTGGGAGGAGGGGGGCGCAGAGGCAGGGCGGGAGGGGGGCTCGTCCACCTCATCCACATCGGTGTGAGGGATGACGCGCCTCTTCCAAACTTCATGGGGTCCTGATGCCCTCAACTGCAATCGTCGTCGTCGCCCTCCTCCTCCACCTCCTTCTCCTTCTCCCCCTTCCCGCGCGCACGCGCGGGGTGGGTGGAATGAAGACATAGAGAGGTGGCTGGACGAGGGAGGCGAGGGTGGAGGGGCAATAGCACAGGAGGGAGGAGAAGGAGAAGGGAGGGGGCAGGCGGATGACAAAGCAGAGCGGGGGGAAAAGCAGCGGTAGCGCCAGCACTGGCACTTCACCGGCACGAGCAGCAGCAAGATCGGGAGCTGCACAAGCACACACAAAAACAAGCACATACACACAAACACATAAACACACACGCACGCACGCACGCACGCACATTCACGCACATGCACGCACACACATAGACGCTCCGATGGGGGGCTTTGATGGTGCGGCGAGCCTCGGTCTTAGCCTGCACCTGGGGCATACACACACACACACGCACACACACACACACACGCTCACACACAAACACAAACACACACACACAGAAACACATACGTATGTGTATATATAACTATTATATACTTATGGCGATCGCGGCCTCGTGCGCAGCGACGAGGTGTAGACAGTCCCCAGGCAACTAGTGAGCGCGCGCGGCCAGCCCCTCAGAAGATGGGGCAGGGATCCAAGCAGGATCGACCATGCCATGCGCATATCTGGGCATGGGCAGCGAGGGTGAAGGGGTGAAGCATGCCTGAATGGCAGGCAAGAGGGTGCGCAGTGCGGCCGAACGGCAGCGACGAAACGAGAAGTGAGACGGGCCGGGCTGGTAAACAAACAATGTACACGTACACGTACACGCACACGCACACGTACACGTACACGTACACGTACACGTACACGTACACGTACACGTACACGTACACGTACACGTACACGTACACGTACACGTACACGTACACGGACACGGACACGGACACGGACACGGACACGTACACGGACACGGACACGGACACGGACACGGACACGGACACGTACACGCACACGCACACGTACACGTACACGTACACGTACACGTACACGTACACGTACACGTACACGGACACGTACACGTACACGTACACGTACACGTACACGGACACGGACACGGACACGGACACGGACACGGACACGGACACGGACACGGACACGGACACGGACACGGACACGGACACGGACACGTACACGTACACGTACACGTACACGTACACGTACACGTACACGTACACGTACACGTACACGTACACGTACACGTACACGTACACGTACACGTACACGTACACGTACACGTACACGTACACGTACACGTACACGTACACACGTACACGTACACGTACACGTACACGTACACGTACACACACACACACACACACACACACACACACACACACACACACACACACACACACACGCGCGCGCGCGCGCGCGCGCGGAGCACGCAAAACCTGCAAACGCCCGCCATCCTCCCCCCTCGCCGCTCCCCCGCGAGTTCCAGAGCAGGTGCGGATCGCCCCATGCCACGCCCTGCTGCCCCGCGAACGTGGGCTCTTCGCCGTCTGCGGCATGCGCTGCCGACATGGCTGGCCCCGCGGGCCGGGCACTGCCAAGGCAGATCACCTCTACGGAGGTCGCCGCTGCCTCCCAGGGAGAAAAGGGAGGAGGACCCCGAGGACCACGCACCCCCCCCAACCCCAGAAATGATAAAAAAAGCACCGACAAGTCCAGAAACCTCCTCGGCCCTCGATCCGCTGGAGGAGCCGGGGAGCCCCCGAATGAGCTGCAAGAAAAGAGAAAATCCGATACCGCCACTCCCTGGACCTCTCCTGGGGCGCGGCCTGGCTAGGATTCCGAAGCGAATCTGACCGTGGCGACTATCAGCACCCCGCCCAGCAGAGCGGAGCGACACGTTATCCGTTCGCAGGGCATGATTACGTAGCGTGCCGTTGGGACCGCGACGCGTTGGGCAAAAGTTCCCGACCGCAGACCCCCGCCTCGCACCAAAGGCTGGAGCCCACTTTTTCATTCTTCGCATAAAAAACGCCCGTGACTGCCCCCCCCCCCCTGATGAGGCCCGCTACAGTGGGGGCCAGTCCACAAGAAACCTTCAACAAGAAACCACCCAACCATGAGACACCAGGAGGTCCATGGATTTTCGGTGTGGGAACGTCACACCCTCCATGGCAAAACCCTCGAAACAAAAGACGCCTGGAGCACCCTGGAGGCAAGCGGGGTGTCTCTTGGCATGGGCCTCCACTGCATCGCCAGGGAGGAGGAGGAGGAGGAGGAGGAGGAGGGGGAGGAGGAGGAGGAGGAGGAGGAGGAGGAGGAGGAGGAGAGGAGGAGGAGGAGGGGAGGAGGAGGAGGAGGAGGAGGAGGAGGAGGGAGAGGAGATGCTCCCGAGACTGGCACGCCCCCCTTGGGCACTGCCCGGATGGCCGCCCCCCGGGCGGCGCGGGCGCCGCTCGCGGCGGCCCTTCGCGCGGCCCGCCCGCCGAGGCGCGGCCGCCCGGGCGCGGCCGTGGCCAAGCGGCATGCCGCAGCCCTGCCCCGCGAGCCGGGAGCGCGGCGGGTCGACGGCGGGCGGCCGGCCACGGAGTGCCCTCCCCTCCTCCTCTTCCTCCTCCCCCTCCTCCTCCCCTCCCCCTCCCCCTCCCCCTCATCCCCCTCACCCCCTCACCCCCCTCACCCCTCCTCCTCCTCCTCCTCCTCCTCCTCCTCCTCCTCCTCCTCCTCCTCCTCCTCCTCCTCTTCCTCCCGCCTCCTACGCCCACGTGCTCACAGGTGCCAGGAGCGTCCGCCGTGAATGTCTAGGCGCAAGGGTTTTCGAGTATAAACGGGCTTCAGTTTGTCACGGTCTGGGCATGGATCTGACTGCGAACGAACTGGAGTGTGAATGAGCCTCAGTAGTACGAGCGCGTCTCTGCGCATGAGCCTGGGTCCTCCTGGGGCCTCCTGGGGCCTCCTGAACCTACTGGGGCTTCCTGGTGACTCCAGGAGCCTCTTGGGGCCTCCTGGGGCCTCCTGGGACCTCCTAGGGAGGAATCGTGCCCCAGGAGAGGCCCAGTCTATAGCAACAGACGTACATAAAACATTGCGGATTGGAGCCGTAGGAGAAAGGGGCAATCTATAGGAACACATGTAAAACACCAAGGACTCGTGCCCCAGGAGAGGCCCTATAGGAACATAAGTACACAGGAGAAGGACAATCTATAGACACATACGTATAACATCAAGGATTCGTGCTCCAGGTGAGGCCCAATCTATAGGAGCATACGTAAAACACATGGGATTGGAGCCACTCCTGTTGCCTTCTGAGGCCTCCTGCTCCTGGGGCCTCTCGGGGCCTCCTGTTGTCTTCCGAAACCTCCTGGCGCTTCCTCTGGCCTCCTGGGGCCTCCTGTGGCTTCCTGGGGCCTCCCGGAGCTTCCTGGGGTCTCCTGGAGCCTCTTGGGACATCCTGTGGCCTCTTGAATCTTTTTGTGGCCTCCTGATGCCTCCTAGGACCTCATGTCGTCTCCTGGGGCCCCCTGGAACCTGTTGGAACATCCTGTGGCATCCTGAGGAGAATCTGTGCCCACGAGTCTGGCCACCGATCGAGACACCTTCAAAATCTGGCCCACCTGGGGGGTGAACGTGAGCGCCTCGCTCGAGACATCCTCCATATCTGCTCCGAAAGCGAATCATGTTGGGACAGAAAACAAGCAAACTGTTTGAGACATCCCCACAAAACGGCCGCGAACGGGACCGTGAGATAACCCCTGGCGGCCCCCCTTAGAGGGGGTGAAAATGAGCGCCTCGCTCGAGACGTCCTCCAAATTTGCTCCGAAAGCGAAGAATGTTGGGACAGAAACCAAGCAAACCGCTTGAGACATCCCCACAAAACGGCCGCGAACGGGACCGTGAGATAACCCCTGGCGGCTCCCCTTA